CGCGGAGGGGGAGGAGAACTGACGTCAGCGCGAGAGTATTATGGGCTGTCGTGCGCTGGCTGCTGCTTTTCTGCTCCTGGAAGCGGCCAAGAGGGGAAGCGGCGAGTCAACATGGAGCTTTCGGCGGTGGGGGAGCGGGTGTTCGCGGCCGAGGCCCTCCTGAAGCGGCGCATCCGGAAAGTAGGTGCTCCGGGCGGCGGGCCGAGCCCGGCTGGGCCCTCCCCCCGGCCTGGGCTCCCTCCCTCTTTGCAGCCCAGCTTCCCTTCCCCCAGGTCCCAGCCGCGGCCGTGACGGAGGCGGCAGCGGCGGCCCTGAGCCCCAGTGCCTGCCTTGGACTTGCAGCGATGCACAGATTGCATGGGTCGGGGGCGGGGCTGGGGGCCGAGTTCCGGTGCACGCACTTTGTGCAGCGTTCCGTGCAGGGGTGATGCGGCGGCGGGCGTGTGCCTTGGGCGAGGGGGGCTCGCGCGTGCATTTGGTGCATGCATTTTCTGCACGGATTTGGCCGGGCCTCGCCAGGAGTCTCTCTCTGTGCACACACCTTTCTCTGCCTTTGCACCCGCAGGGACGCATGGAGTACCTCGTGAAATGGAAGGGCTGGTCGCAGAAGTAAGTAGGGAGTAGGCGATCCTCCACCCCACTGTTCGAGTTGGGAGGTTCCTTTCTTCCGCTTTTCTCCGCTGTGTGGGGACACAATGCAGCATCCCTAGAAAAGTTCACGCCTCCTCCCACTGTCTCCCTGTCCCCTGCAGGTACAGCACTTGGGAGCCCGAGGAGAACATCCTGGACGCCCGCCTGCTGGCCGCCTTTGAGGAAAGGTACAAGCCTCCCCAGCCCTTCTGCTCACTTAAGAGGCAGTGGTCCTGGCCTCGTGCCAGCTTGGACCCCTGTGCACCCTGGTTTCAGTCCTCACACACCCCTTTCCCCACCTTCTCCATAGGGAACGAGAGATGGAACTCTATGGCCCCAAAAAGCGAGGCCCAAAGCCCAAGACTTTCCTCCTGAAGGTAGGAGGGCTGTGCCCAGTGGTGGGCAGGGATGTTGTCCGGTCCTGTGCCCACCGAAGGGTCCTGAGGCTGGGAGCCAATAGGCTGTTCACAAGCTGCCTGTTTTACCCAGTTGGGCATTCCCAGGCAGTATGTATGTCACCTTGTCAGTGGCAGGGACAAGAGGTGCCTGGGGAGAGGGGGGGGGCTGAGTCATCCTAGCATTCTCTACTCCCAGATGCATCCTGAGTCCCACTGGGGCAGTGGGCTTGGCAGCCAGGGCTACTTCTGGGCAAGTTACCACCTTGAAGAAGCTTCCCCACTCCCATCTAGATACCTCCTAGGGGAGGCTGAAGTTGGGGAAGGCAAGGGCCCTACTCTGCTTGTAATACCGCCTGCCTTTACTTCCGCAGGCCCAGGCTAAGGCCAAAGCCAAAACCTACGAGTTCCGTAGTGACTCTGCACGTGGCATCAGGATTCCCTACCCCGGCCGCTCGCCCCAAGACTTGGCGTCCACCTCCCGAGCCAGAGAGGGCCTTCGGAACATGGGTCTACCTCCGCCACCCGGAGGAGGGAGCAGCAGTAGCAGCAGCAGCACCACCACATGCCGCGCGGAGCCACCCCGGGACCAGGCGCGGGATCATCGCGAGAGGGAACGCGAACGCGAGCGGGAGCGGAGCGCCAGCCATGCGGACGACAAACCCAGCTCCCCTGGGGACAGCTCCAAGAAACGCGGCCCCAAGCCCCGGAAGGAGCTCCTGGACCCTTCGCAGAGGCCTCTGGGAGAACCCAGTGAAGGCCTCGGAGAGTACCTCAAGGGCCGGAAACTGGAGGACGCCCCTTCCGGGGCAGGGAAGTTTCCAGCAGGCCACAGTGTGATCCAGCTGGCTAGAAGGCAGGATTCGGACCTGGTCCAGTGTGGCGTGGCCAGCCCCAGCGCCTCGGAGGCCACGGGCAAGTTGGCTGTGGACACCTACCCAGCCAGGGTCATAAAGCACAGAGCGACCTTCTTGGAGGCCAAAGGCCAGGGCGCCCTGGACCCTGGTGGGCCCCGGGTCCGGCACGGCTCAGGCACTCCGGGCTCTGTAGGGGCCCTGTACCGGGACATGGGGGCCCAGGGAGGAAGGCCCTCGCTCATCGCCAGGATTCCAGTGGCCAGAATCCTGGGGGACCCCGAAGAAGAGTCCTGGAGCCCCTCGCTGACCAACCTGGAGAAGGTGGTCGTCACAGATGTGACGTCAAACTTTCTGACCGTCACCATTAAGGAAAGTAACACGGACCAAGGCTTTTTTAAGGAGAAGAGATGAGGGGCTGGGGTTGAGCGCTCCCGCCCCACCCCCCAGCAGCTAGTGAGAGGGCGAGGCCGCAGACTCAGTGCTTTTTACTTCTGGGGGGAGGGGATCGCCCTGCTGGCTGGCCCCACCCCTAACATCACACACACCCCGCCCTTTCCACCTCTCCCCCTGCCCCAGTTTCGGTTGGAAAGATGATCTCTAGAGTTATATTTTCTATTAGCTGTAAATATGTTATTTAAGAAAAAGAAAAATCTAAATATATATATTTCAACTCTTGAAGTTGTTTTATTTAAAGAAGGAAAAAGAGAGGCAGGCGAGGTTGATTTGTGGGCAGATAGGCAGGCCGAGATGGGGTAGCAGGGATCTCTGGCACCCAGGGAACTAGCAGCAAGACTTGGGGCCAGGTACCCACCCCCCATCCCCTCCACTGGTCTTGGAAGGTGTCTGCAGGGTCTCAGCCTGCCACCCCCCTCTTCCCTCTCCCAGACCCCCTTGAAATGAGGCAGCCCCTTAATTTCATCACCCCCACCCCCACCATTGTCAGAGAGGCAGGGCAACAGAGAGTTGACTCTTACCCCCTAGTCATAAAAGGGGAAGGTTACTTTCCTTTAGGAGACTCAAACATCTATTAGGGGAAAATGTTTTCACTTTGACACCCCCCCTTTTTTGGGGGGTGTGTGATGTTGAAGGTGAAAAGTCACAGGTGGGTGGGATCTGGCTGCTGTTCCCCAAGACCACCCGGCGCAAAGCACTTTATGGGAGAGGGGCCTGAGCTGTGTGCCCTCCACTCCTCACGCCACAGAAAGACGAACCCAGGAATTCTGTTTACATTCCCGAAATGCCAGGATAAATTAGGAGGATCCCAAGTCCACTCCAACTGCCCGCCCCGGCCGCCGGGAGTTCAGACATTTGTTTTATAAGAAAGATGTTTGGGGTGGACTTCTTCCGCTTGTGGAGTAGCCTTCTAGCTCACTGGGAGAAGGGACAGCGCCCCCCACTTCGCTGGAGGAGTTGGATACGGAGGCGCGCTCCTTTTGGGGCAGGAGGACAGCCCAGCTCTCTGATGGACTGACACCCGCAGGGGCCCAGGCCAGCCCACCAACTGGATCCTGGAGGATGGGGCAGCAGCAGGCCGGCTCTGGTCTCTGGTCGGCCGGGGAGGGTTCGGGCATCTCAGGCCTTGGGGACACAGGAGCAGGGCGGTATGTTTCTCAACGGAATGCTCATCTGAACTCTGGCGGTCTCCTTTTTGGCTCCCTTTCTTAAAAGCAAAAGCTATAATTTATAGCCCCCCCCCCCCCCCTTCTGTTGGAGCTGCGTTCTCCGCTGCTGACGCCACCAAGGGGAGGGGGCTGTGGGAGCCTGGAGAAGGGTGGCCTGTGCCCCTTTTCTGACTCAAAAGCACAAATCAGCCCTCTGGCCCCTGGGGAGGGTTCCTGGGGCTCCTGCCCTTAAAGGGCCAGCAAGCCTCCTCTTCCCCGAGGAAGGCCAGGCTCTGACTGCAGAGCAGGGCACCCAGCACAGACTGAGTGAATGAGCCTGGGGGAGCCGCGCTGCAGGCGCTGGGGAGGCACTCACAGGCCAGACAGGGGAGCCCCAGCCTCCACCTCCTGGCTCCACCTTTCACTTCATGCCTACCTTCTAAGGGAAGGCACAGGGTGCATAGGAAAGGTGTTAAGAAATGATTTTGGTTGGTTTTTGAATATCAAATTGCGCCTATAAAGAAAAGCCCCGAGATGGATTTTACCTGCTCATGTTTGTAAAGCTGGTATTTTAGACTTTGTATAAAGCAGTGCCGTTTGACCAAGTGGATTTACTTACCCGTCGACGCTATTTTCAAAAGAAACGTAATTGAAGGGATGTGTGTCTGTTGCCCAGAGGAGGGGAGCTCCTTGACCTGGCGGCTGCCTTCTCCCAGGCCCCCCTTTCTAGTCCCTCTTCACCCCTTGCCCCTTCCCTCAGACCTCGCTCTAGCCAGCCTGGCTCTCCTCACCGCCCCCCCGCATCTGTCCTGCAGTCAGCCTGTCCGTGGACTTGCGTGTGTCTCCCTTCCTCCTGCCACGCAGACATAGGGGTGGATGGGCGGGCAAGGGCCAGGCCTGGACCGACCGGCCAGGAGCCCGAAGCCTGCGCGGGGTGTGCGCTTGTGGGGCTTGAGTTCTAAGATGTGTACAAAGCGAGGCTCAGCCTCGCTGCCGCTGGGGCGCGCGAGTGACGCTTCTGTTCTTGTCTCCTGCGACCGTGAACGTCTGTATTAATACCTGCTTTTTACGTGTTTAAATATATACTTTGTAAATAGAGATGTGGCTGGCTTTTCCTTTTTTATGTTCGCAAGCTGATGGAAGAGGACTTTTCTCTGATTACCTAACCCCGTCCCTAGTTGCTCTGCGAAGGCTCCAAAGGCCCACCTCCAAGGGGGACCCCACTAGGTGGGGTTGGGAGGGAGCGGGTTGGGTCTTGCTCAGCCTCTGCTGGAGGCCCTGGCTTTGCCCCTGTACCTGCTGTGGTCCCCTGTGCTCAGGCACAAACGAGGATCCCCAGGACGGTCTCGGTGCCCCTTCCGCGGCTGCTCTGGCTGCTCTAGCTCTGGTCACAGCCCGCCCCACCCCCAGGCCGGATGTTCCCAGGCCCCAGGACCACTGCCTGAGTTTGGGTGTGCTCCCCAATGCAGTTGCTGCCCCCAGGGCCCTCCCCGCCTCAAGGGCGCTCCCCAAAATGCAGAAATGCAGCGCCTAGCCTATTGATTGAGGAATTGAATTCGTGGGCATTGCTAGGCAACTGGCTGCCTGGAGCCGGCGCAGAGCGCGCCGTGTGATTAGCGAAGCCTCGATGCAGCCCGCGGCCCCACTGCCGAAGTACCAGTCCTGGGGGGGTGGGGGGTGGCGGACACCCCAACGCTGGGCGAGGGACAATCCGAGAGCGCCCAGAGAGCGCACGCCCGGTGGTGGAGATGGAGCTGCTGGGTCTTTTGTGGGGCTCAGACTGCAGCAGTTGGGTGGGGTCTCAGAAGAGACCCCATCAGAGCCCTAAAGAGGTCATCCATTGAATGCAAGCCAGCCCCACCCCCCACCCCGCGGGCGGAAACCTTAGGGGAGGGCGGGGGGCCGCCCTCCCCTCCTACCCTGGCCTCAGAGTTGGTGACCACGCCGAGGCGCACGCCCGCCTGCCTCCCCCAGCTCTGTGACCTGCGTGGGTGGGAGGGCGCGGGGCCTCGAGGAGCTGCCCAGAACGGTGGCTTGGACCGTCCTGCTGGTCCATGCAGCAGAGTCGTTCCAGCAGAGGGTCGGTGACCCAACCTCTACGGCGCACGAAGTCCGGCAGGTGGTGCCCGGTTCCCGAGGGTCTGACTGCTGGAGGCCTGGGGCGGAGGCGGCCGGAGGGGGAGGCCGCCAGCCTCCAGTAGCCTGAGGAGCCGGGACACCATTCCACGCCCTCCCGTGGGGCGGGCGGGTGGGGGGGGAGGCAGTTGACTGGAGAGTTCGGGTGGTGGGAGAGCGCCCGTGATGCCCCCTTTTCCGGTTCACTGACCACCGCGGATCTATCCTTGGCTGGTCCAGATTCGCCTCCGCCGGTGTCTGATTCCTGAACAGGTGTGGGGGCTATATGGCCCGCTGGGCACCTCACAGTCACTGGCTGATCTGGAGTCTTCGTCCAGAGTGGGGAGACCCATCTCTTTCTGTTTCCTTGACGCTCAGTGAACAAGGGTCCTGGGCCAGCCCCAACCCTCTGCGACTCACCGAGACCCCCAGACCCAGCTGGAGTGGGAAGTGGGTGCGGGACACCATGCCGCCTCCTCGGGGCTGGACACTGGGGCGGACTCCCTTCCCGAGGACACGTAGTGGGCCAGGGGGGCGTGGTGCCATTCGGTCCCTGCACTTCAGAGCCAACTCCCTCCTCCCGAAGAAGCCCCCTCCCCGCTATCTCCCAATGGTCTGGGCTTCGCGGGGTGCGCGCGCCCTCTGGAGGCGGCGGCGGGGGGCCCCGCCCCTCTGTCCGGCGCCCCACCCCTCTCGGTCCGACTGGTGCCTTCCTTCCTAGCTCTTGATAGGAGCAAGGACGCCCAAGGCCCCGCTGGAGTGGGCCGTCGGGGCCCCTCTGCGCCCTCCCGCTGCTAGGGGGCAGAGCGAGGAAGGTGTCAGCCCTCCCGGACCTGGTACCCCGGCCTGGCCGCGCCGACTCTGCCAGGCGGCTCGGGCTTGGACGCGCGGGTGGTCGCCGCCGCTGCGGGGGCGGGACATGGCAGGCTGGGCCCGGGGCACCTTGGCAGCCCAGCCCGTCTTTCTGGAGAGGCGGCTGGTTAGGTGACCCGACCGGCCGCGCAGAAACTAACCAAGGCCCGCGTGAGGTCCAGTCGCGTGGACGTGGGCTGGCAGGAGGTCTGGCTCGGCCGATGGCGCAGTACCTGCTGCTTCTGCGCCCGCAGCCCATCCCAACCTCTTCCCGCAGCTCTTGAAGCTGGACAGGACCCGTGGGGTGGGAGCCAGAACAAAATAGCCAGGGTGTCACCAAGGTCAGCCAGGAAAGACCCTGCAGGGGAGCTTGGCTTTCCCATTTGCAGTACTTTCGGATCCAGGCAACGCTGCCAGCCACCCTCCTGGAGTGGACCGTCCAGGCCGGCACCCCAACTAGCCTTCAGCTGAGGGCAACTGCCATCTAGGCCCAACCTCCCTCCTCTCCCTGGAGGTGGAGCTGTATGAATAAATTCATGCTAAGGCCATTGAGAACTGGGAAGGGCCAGGGGAAGGTACCTGCAAATCATAGGTATTAGGAGTTATCAGACTGAAGGCTGCAGGAGCTTCAAGCCCTTTTCCAAAGTGTTAACACGTGAGGAAGATCCCAGGGGTGCAGTAGCTGTCTCACCCAGCATCCTTGAGGGGTGGTACGTAGGTGGGGAGACTTTGGTCTAGTGTTAGCAGACAATACCAGAGCTTTTAGGGGAGGTGGGGTGTCTGTGGTCCCTAGCCCCCCTTGCCATTACTGAATTAGTATTCCTAGCCCCTATCACGGGATGGCAGTGACCCCATTCTTCCCACTCTGTGACAAGCTTCTATTAATTGCCAAAGCTGTCCTGGCATCCGGGATTCCGTCAGGAAGTCCCTCCCACAACCTACCCATTATCTGTCTTTCAATAGCCCATGAAAAAGAAGACCCATCCCAGAGCCCATGGTGCCCCCAGCCCCCTACTAGGTCCTGGGGTGTGTCTCTGTTCAACAAAGGATCAGTGGTATTTTCAGGTTGCCACTCACAAGTCACACAAACCGCCAAATTTAAAAAAATATTTATTGATAAGCTAACAGTTAACAAAAGAGTCCTGACACGGTGGGCTACCATCTCTGCCCTGAAAAATAAATTAACCTCCGTCGAAAGACATCTGAATATGGATGCTAACTTCAAAAAACAAAACAAATGAGAAAAACAGATTGAGGTGGACTGGGTGGAGGTATTTCCCTCAACAGCCAGTTGGTCCTGAGGAAAGTTGGGGCCCTGTCCTCTCCCAGAAAAGATTTTATTGGGGGGGGGTGCTCCCTTCCCCTTCTTCTAAAGGCAACAAACTGCCACGGATTAAAGCAGTTACAAGTGGCCAATGGGAACACCTTGGCTTTCTGCTAATTAAGACACAAAACAGGTGATAGTCATCTTTCACAGCTGTCCCCTGCACTTGAGAACCCCACAGGGGCTTTCTCCAGTCAGAAGTGACCAAACTCCTCCCTCAAAAGAGAACTTTATTTTTTTGGTACAAAATGTATATATAAAAATAAGCTTAGACCTTGGTGTTCCCTGGGGCCAGAGCAAGCACCCCTTCACAAGATGCGGGACGCCGTCAGGGATTAAAACCAGGGGACTGCAAGGTGGCCTGTGGCCCCACACCCGCCTGGATAGCAGCAAATGAAACTGGGCAGGGACAACTTGGGTGTTGGTAAACACAAGACCACCACCTCTGAGCACGTGGTCCAAAGATGCAGGCAGCATAGTTTTGCCCACGTATGTGCACATGCACTTTTCTTTCTTTCAGCATGAACTGTTGGGGTAGTGGGGACAAGCTCTAGGAAACACCGAGCACAGCAAGGCAAAGTGGCAGAGAATGGGGTTTGCAGATTTGAGCTTTGGGATCGAAGTAGCTAGTAAAGAGAAAGGCACCAAATTGGGGTGAAGACCCAGCTGCTGGGAGATTGGGACACCCCTCAACACCCAGACACCCCCAGTCCCTACAGCTAGTGGGCCCCACCTCAGGGCTGGGTCACTCTGGAGCTGACCAGTGGGGACAGGCCACCAGTGGCCCAGTTTCTCCCAGGCTGTGCCCGAGAGCTGCTGGCATCTCCTCTTCCCCAAGGGGCAGTCTCCCTCTTCCTGGCCCGTCCCAGGCACGATGTGGGTCCCATCCTGCCCTCCGGACAGTGGCAGGTCCAGGCCGCCCCAAAGGCACACTGCTCAAGTCCGTTTGGCTACACAAAGCAGCCCTTCCTATTTGGCATGTAGGGGGAGGTGGTGGAGTGAATAGCTGGCAGGCCTGTCCCTAGGATGCCAGACTTCCCACTCCCGCCTGGAGGCCAGGTTAGTTTGGAGACAGGCTACTGTGGACACACCTTCGTCACAGCCCAGGCCACTCTGAAGTCAAGACGAGCCCATGTCAGCTGCTGGTCTCAAACAACTATCGAAATAAAAATGGGTAAGTGACCCCTCCCGCTTCTTTTTGGCATTACCCAAACCCAGTGGCTTAAACCCTGCCACCTCCCCAGGGGTTTGCTAGTGGCACCCACACCCTTGCCCCATGACGCTGATCGGGAAGGGGTTTAGCACCTCAGTCTCTTCTCACAAGCAGGGAGAGATGGGTGGGAGAGAGGACTCAGCAGGCTGCCCCATCAGGGGAGTGCTTGAACTTAAGGGCACTGAGACAGGATGTGGCACCCCAAAAGATGGGGTGGATTGTCAGGGAAAAGGCAGCACCAAGTGGGCGGCTGTATTCAGGTGCAACCCAGGCTGGGCCACTTTTCAAGCGGCCACCTGCTGCCTAGGACCCTGGTGCCCTTTGTTGCTATGGGCACAGCAGGAAGTGGTTTGCCCATTCACAGAACAGGGCCCCTTTCCACAAGCACTTGACTTCAGGTGCCTCAGCAACTACCGTGGGCCCAGCCTGGCACCCTGGTCCATGCTCTCCATGGAGCTGGAGCAGTCAGAATTCTTCACCAAGCAGTGGTGGCATTCCAGATCGGAGTGTGGGCCCAGCTGGACCCCCACTGAACTTTTGGGTGGCACGGGATGCCCGGAAGTGGGTAGGAGCCTTTCAGGGGCACAAATGGTTAGGCATCAAGGACAGGCCACCAAGTCCACCTTGAGAGATAGGCCTGGTGAGCAGGCCGGGGCACTCCTGGGTTGTCAGAGATGGAAACAGGACCTGCAGCCTCCTCTTCGGCTCAGGCACAGCTCTGCAGGGGCGCAGCCTTGATCTTGTCCCCATCCCACCCACCCCCAACCCCTATCAGCACCTCTGTCCCCCAGAAAGGGGAGGGATACTTCCTCCAGAGCCAAAGGGGTCATTCTAACCCCAGCACCAGTTTAGGGGCTGAAGAGAGCCGGCCCTGCCAGGCCGGTGAGGTAGGAATAGGGATGTCTGGCTTGTGCCCTGCTGCACATCACAGCCTGGGTCAGAGGTCAGCACTGAGGGCGAAGCACCTTTTCAAGCTTGCTCACCCTAAAGGAGCTGACCTCCAGCTCCCCGCAGCCTGGTCCCCCAGAAAACACAGGGCGGGTGGGGTGACAGGGAGGGCGCTTCAGTAAGGTCTCAGGTTGAAGAAGCCCACGCTGGTGGGGGACTCCTTCACAGTGACGGTAACGAGGTTGGCAGTGACATCTGTGACGAAGACGTGCTCGATGAGGCTACGGGGTGGCCTCCAGTCCTGGCCGGTCTGCACGGACACGGAGAGGTTTGGGCCGGCGCCGGGGGCCGAGTCGGGGTCCGAGTCAGAGCTACTGTTCTCCTCACCCGTGCTCAGCTCCGAGAGTGCTGGCACCTTGCGGGGCTCCCCGGGGACCCCTCGGCCCTCCTGCCCACCCAGGGTGCCGCTGCCCTTGCCACTGTCCCACTTCCCCGTGGGCATGGGCAGGGCTGATGCCCGTGAGGACACCTTCTCACTTTTGTCAGCGGGTGCACCAGACCCACTCCCCATGGCGGGGCCACCCCCAGTGCCCTTCCCCGCTACCGGGTGGGAGGTGGGGCCACCCTTGGTGGGTGGGGTATGGTGAGCAAGCACACCTGTGCCCGAAGTGCCATTCTTGACACTCTGCAGATCTAGGAGCTGGAGGCTCAGCTCCTGGCTGGGCAGGGGCTGGGGGCCGGGGCCACCTGTGGGGACCTTGCTGCCTGCCGGTGCATGTGGGCCGCCCCCCACAGGACCCCCTTTCTGCTCTGCAGCCCCGCCGCTGCAGGGTGCCTTGGGAACTTTGCTTCCTGGGGGGCTGGCCCCCAGCTCCCCCTTCGGTGTCCTCACCTTGAGGTCCAGCCCGAGGCTGCACTTGTTGGCAGCCTGGGCTTTGAGGGCCAAGCGGCTGGCGGCCTCAGCCTGGCTCTGTGTCATGCGGCTCATGTAATGGACAATGGAGCTCTGCCAGCTGATGCCGCCTCGGCCGGGGCTGCCCCCCACGCCCTTCATCAGGCTGGCCAGGCTCTCTGTGGTGGCGGCGGTGCTGCTCGGGCCCCCGCAGGCCTCCTTGGCATGGGCTTTCAGGGCAGCCAGACCCGCCACTGGGGCGCTGAGTGGAGGGGGCAGCTTTCCAGGCTGGACGGTCAGGTCCTTGCGGGCCGTCTTCAACACCTTGGCCAGGCTCATGGGCCGCCTGGCCGCCTTTTGCTCGGGGGGCAGTGGCTTGCGGCCCCGCTTCTTCCTGATGGGATCCTTCAGCTCAGGCTTGGCCACCAGAATCTGCGCCTTCTTCTGGGGCACTGGGTGGGTCTCTCGGCCCCGGGGCCCCCTCTTGGCATCAAGGTCGCTGTCATCCTCTTCGTCAGAGGAGGAAGAAGAAGATGTGGAGGAGGAGGAGGAGCTGCTGGATTTGGACTTGGACGGGGCATCAGGTTCCTGGGAACACAACATGAGAGGTCACTACCATGGTGGCCCAATACCCCAAGACCCCTCCCCATCCTATTCCAGAAGGGACTTAGGGAGCGCCCTGGGGGGGCTTTGGAGGGAGGGGGGTGAGGAGGAACTGAACCATCCAATGAGGTTGGCGGCTGCTGTACCCAGAGTGGCTTCTGGCTCCTCCCAACCCCACGGGGAGACCAACTGCTGTCTGGGCTTCCTCGGGAACCCTTATGGGGGCAGATTACCAGAACTTTCTACCGTGGAGAGCTTTTGGTTAGTAAGCCTTGTGCTTCACCCCTGGTGCCCCCAGGGACCCTTGACAAAGCCGGACCAAAGGGAACCTACTGCCCACGAGCCAATTCCGGCTCACACTAGCCCTGCAGGACAGAGCAGATCGGCCCCTTTGGGTCTCTGATCTCCATTTAGGAGCAGCCTGACTCACTTTTCTCCCTAGGAGAGCTTGGTGGGTTTGAACTGCAGACCTTGTGGTTCAAAGCTCAATGTGTAACCCGCTAAGCCACTGGGGCTCCTTAAGGGAAAAAAACAAAACAAAACAAAACACCCCACTGCCATCAAATTAATTCGGACTCGACAACCCCCTAGGACAGGGCCGAACTGCTGCTTCGGGTCCCCAAAGTTGTACATCTTTATGGGAGCAGGAAGCTCCATCTTTCTTCCATGGGGCAGATGGTAGGTTTGAACCATTGGCCTTGCAGTTTGTAGCCCACTGTGTGACTCACTACATCACCAGGGCTCCTGCTCACTCACTTACTGCCAATTGATTCTGGCTCATTACAACCTGACAGGACAGGGCAGAACTGCCCCTGTGGGTCTCCACACTGTAAATCTTTCCAGGAGAAAGCCTTGTCTTCCTCCCGAGAAGTAGTGGCTGGTGTTTCCAACGGGTGACCTTGTAGTTGGCAGTCCAGCTTCTACCAGGGCCCCTCATAATCATCCACTGCAGTCATGCCCCACCCTCGGCTAGCAGGGGGGACACAGGGTTAGCACCTAGCTCTTTCTGCCATTTCCTAAAGCAGAGGTTCTCAACCCACCCTGGGGGTGGGTGTCAAACAACCCTTTCACAGGGGTCACCCGATTCATAACAGTAGCAAAATGACAGTGATGAAGTAGCAACGGAAATAATTTTATGGTTGGGGGTCACCACAACAGGAGGAACTGTATGAAAGGGTTGCAGCATGAGGCAGGTTGAGAACCACTGTCCTAAAGGGAAACCTGGGTTTATACACTGTAGGAGGTGAGGCCTGGGCCAAGAGGTCAGCCAAGAGGTCACAGATGCAGCCTAATGTCACACCAGCCCCCCACCCCCCCCCTTCCAGAAGGCAGCTGACTACACACAGCCTCTGCTCTGATCTCAGAGGAGAGCTTTGGCGGGGCTGCTGACCCAGGGCTCCCTGTAGAGGGGCCCTCCTGCAGTAGCCAATCCTCACTCCGCTCTCAGCTGCTGCTCCACACAGCCAGGGACACCTCCCCCAGCCTGGCACGGCCCAGTGATAAGACTTCCAGGGTTACCTTGGGTACTGCCTGCAATTTCAGGGTCAACAGCAGCTAGGTGGCTGGGTCTCTAGTGACCTTGCAGCCTGAGAATGGAGGGGGAGGGGGTGTCATGAACTGAGGGGGGGGTGTCCTGGCGTGGGGGGCGCCTATCTGGCTATGATCACAACCGGAGAGATACATCCAAGAAGGCCTGTCCCTCCTGTGACATCTCTCCGCCTAGCCAAAAATGCAGTCAGGGGCTAGGCCCCTGGGAGCCATCTGTTCCAAGGGCCAGAAGGGGAGCTGCTCGGGTGGGCGGGCTGGATACCAGGCTTGACTAGAAATCACGTGGGTGGGTGTGCCCGCCTCCCACCGGCGCCGGCCGTGCCCACTCACCAGTGCCCTGCCCCACCCTTGCGGCAAGGCCCCACCTGGTCACGTCCGCAGACCGCCCCCCCATCCCGGGGCCCCCAAGCCTCCGGGGGCTGGAGGGCCGTCACCCACCTTGGGCTTGGAGCGACGGCTGCAGGAGGACGGGATGGTGTGCTTTCTGGGCCGGCCCCGCGGCCGCTTGCCTCGCTTCCGGCTCTGCACCTCCTTCTCGTGCTCCCTGGAGACACACGTGGGTCAGGGCGGAGCCCTTGCCCGCACGGGGGCGCCAGAGCGCGGTGCGCCCCAGCCCTGCCCAGCCGGCTGCGTCTCTGGCTTGGGCTTGGCTCATGGGGGCCCCAGCACTCCTACACCCCTGTGGCTCCCACCTTCCGCCAGGTCAAAACACAGCAGTCCCCAGACCCCTCCAGGGCAGAACGCAAGCTAAACCCTTTGCACGTGGTACCAACTCACAGCCACCCTGCGCAGGGTAGTCTAGAACCGTCCCCTAGCGCTTCCAAAGCTGCCATCTTCATGGGGGTCACCTGCTGATGCGTGGTTCTTGGGTTTACACTGCTGACCCCCAGTTAGCAGGCCAGGGCTTTTACTATGCACCCCACCAGGGTCCCTCTAAGTTAAAACCAAACTCGCTGTCACCGAGTCAATTCCAACCCACAGAGACCCTACAGGGCAGGGGGGAGCCACCCTGAGGGATTCTGAGTCTCTATGGGAGTAGCAAATCCTATCTTTCTCCTGCAGAGCGGCTGATGGTTTCAGACTGCTGCCTCGGAGGTCAACAGGTGAACTCATAACCACTACGCCACCAGAGCCTCCCAAATTTCCGGGCTGCATCCAGCATCTAAAAGTTTGGCCACGTCCAGAAATGTCACTACCAGAAGTCACAGGGACCTGCCTCTTCACTCTCCATCACCCGGGACAGGGAGATGACCTACCTCCAGGACCCACA